TCTAATATTTGTCACAACAGACATCTAATATTTGTCACAACATGCAGTAGGTGGAATCCTCCCAGAGTTCCTGCTCCAGGGGAGAGCTGCTGGAGAGGTAGGGATGCCAGCCTCCAGGTGGGACCTGGGGATCCCCTGGAATGAGAGCGCAAGACTACAGAAATCAGTTCCCTTGGAGAAAATGGATGCTTTGGAGGGTGGTCTCTCATATGGCATTGTACCCCACTGAAGTCCCTGTTCTCTCCGGGCTCCATCCTCAAATCTCCAGAAGTTCCCTGAAGTGTAGTGGGTTAAACGCAGGAAGAAACCACTGAAACTGATGTAGTGATCAGCATGGTTTACTGGTACACAACAAAGACTAAGACTAACGGCCGGCTGGCCAACTATATACACACCTGGGGACGCCCCCTAGGTCCCGTTGGTGGGTTTAAATCTCTTGCCAAGGTCCCATTGGTTCCCCAGTGGAGAGACCAGGAGCCTAGTCCCCATTGTTCTTCCAGAGTCAAGCTCCCTGGTGTTCGCTGGCCCCTGGTGGCGGTCAGCAGACACAACATTTCCTAACCTGGATCCAGCAACCTTACCCCCCATCCCTACCAGTGGTTGGGGGTGGGTGGCAACCCTAGGCCCCTTTGGGCTGCTTCAAATGCTAAACTGTGGTTTATGGGACCAGCCAAAGGGGCTGACAAGTGGGGACATTGTGCCAAAAAACTGATAGGATCAAACCCGGCATTCTTAGGGGAGGGGGGGAGAGGCCATGTCCCAAACACTCTGCAAGCCATGGGAAGCCAATTAAATGTTACATAAATAATTTTTTTTCCAGATAGTAGTATAAGTTTATTGTCTTAGCCATAGGCCATAACATAATACATCAGGTCATACATAAGTAATTTGCAAACATTGGTTCAGTATTTACCAAGATAAACGATTTCCAGCAAAATGTTTGAGAACCAGGACAGCCAGTGCTTTTGAAGAGTCTTTAGGAACTTGTCCAGCTCCTCTTACCTTTAAGGAAAGAAGTTCTATTATGAGCCGTTGTTTGTAAAAGGCTTAATTGTTCTGTGCTGTGTGAGAGAGGGCCTCTTTCTCACAAGGTGCCTCACAAACCATCAGTGTGCTTCGAAGGCTTATTTGGAAAGTCTTGCACCAAAAGTGCCTTTGATTGATTGAGTGATTGATTGAGGCTCTTTTCAGAGCTCGAATGTATTGGAAGTTGGACTGCAAGACAATGGATACAAATCCCCTTTTCCCCTCCATATGTTCATGCCTGTAGTTGGTCACCAATGCAGGACTAACTTGTAAATGTAATTGTAAAGCAACTGACTAGAATGTACAGCTGAACTACCTTATTGTCTTTTGTCTGCTCAAATTAACAACATGCACACCTGACACCTTTCTGAGAAGTCTTGTTCAATCACTTGTCACTTTGCATGATTACAGATTGCTTTCCGACAGCAGCCTTGCCTTTCTTTACCTATTTGCTGCCCCCTCAAGATGTGAAAAAGCACACAAGAAAAGAAAAAAAGAACTGTCGAGATTTGTGAGTTGAGATTTACTACTTAGGTGTCTCTGTGCACATTCGGTTCTTGTGATCAATTCTTGTAGTCAGTTCACAATAAATACCACTGAATGTATAGGCAAAACGCAGGCAACATATCCAATATTGGTCATTTAAAGGATGCACACAGCTGTGTATGTGCACAGAGGAGACGAACTGCACATAATTTTCATGCTTCATAGTTTAACAACATGGTCACTAATACTTAGCTTAGGGATTGTGCAGGCTCAATAGCAGATGCAAGCGGCGACTTATTTGTTACTTATTATTAAGGCGCAACTTGACCCTTTAGTAGATGAGGCTCCTACACATATGCAAAGTTGCTTACGCACATGACATAAATTAGACAGCAGACATTGAGGCTATCTAGTAAGGAGCAAGGCAGTCATAAAAAGGTAAAGGTTCCCTTGCTCGAAAGCCAGTCGAGTCCGACTCTAGGGTTGCGGTGCTCATCTCCGTTTCAAAGCCGAAGAGCCAGCGCTGTCCGAAGACATTTCCGTGGTCACGTGGCCGGCATGACTAAACACCAAGGCGCACGGAACACTGTTACCTTCCCACCAAAGTGGTACCTATTTATCTACTTGCAATTTCTTGCTTTCGAACTGCTAGGTTGGCAGGAGCTGGAACTAGAGACAGGAGCTCACTCCGTCATGCGGCAACTCAGGTCTCGAACTGCTGAACTACCGACCTTCCACAGCCTGCAATTCAGCATCTTAACCACTTGAGCCACCACAGGTCCAAGGCAGTCATATTAGTGTTGAAATTCTCAGCACCTCTACTGCTAAGTGTGCTATGTGAAAACTCCCCTGAGTGGGTATATATAAGCTGATATATAAGGGTCCAGTAAAACAGTAAATCACCGTGTACAAATATACAATATAAGTAGATATTTATCTATAATGCTTTAGAAATCAATTGTCAGCAAAATTACAACTATAACATTATAAGATGCAATATTAAGCTTGGCAGTACATATAGAACACTACAGTATAGTCTCAGACAAACGACGGAGTTCTAGTATAAGTCCGTTTACGAATCCTTCTTCAGGTTTGTCATCTGTACTCTTATCTTCATTAGAATGAAGTGCTGCAAGCTGCAATGGAGTGTAACATGCTTAATAACCAAAAAACACGAATTTTACTCTAATATATAGAGGAGGATTTACAATTTATAAACTCACCATTATTTCACAATGTAAATTCTTATACAGTTTTTTGTACGCTATCGCGTTTAATCTAAAGGAAAGCAGACAAGCACAATGAATATTATACAGTCCTTTAGTGACACATATACAAGGATAATTCAAAATAAAGCAAACATTCAACCTGGAGACTGGGGAGCTCCTATATCACGCTCTCATGTGACAGAGTCTACAGTATACGATAATTGGCTAAGCTACCCTCAGTGAAAATGAAAATGAAGCTCAAATACTTTGGCCACCAAATAAGAAGGGAGCATTCACTGGAGAAGACCCTGATGCTGGGAAAGACTGAAGGTCAAAGAAGACGGGGACGGCAAAGGATGAGATGGTTGGACAGTGTCATCGATGCAACGAACATGAAACTGAGCAAACTTCAGAGGACAGTGGAAGACAGGAGGGCCTGGCGGGATCTAGTCCATGGGGTCGCGAAGAGTCGGACTCGACTGTGCGACTGAACAACAACACCCTCAGTGTGGCACAATGTCTCAAT